GATACGCTTTGCTTTCAGCTGTAGCCCAGGACTGTTTTGAACTAGCATCCATCACTCCTCTGAGCATGCAAGCACATTGGCATTTTCTAAAATGGCAAATACTAAAATCTTAAGAGTTAATAAAGCAATTGCACTACAAACTTTGTACCATCACTACTAAAACTACACCAACAAAGTCTGGAAAACAAAGGAGAAATATACTACTTGTTAACATGATAACAATATTGGCCCCAAGCAATGTTATTATTTTAAAGCTCTGGAGTGACCTAGCGCATCATACAGGTTATAAGATTTCTAAAGTTCAGTATAAAGACGGACTTTGGCAACATAACTCTTGGTTCTGCAAGCCTCAGAAACAGTGTGAGGATTCAGAGCTGCCCAGGGAGTCCCTTTGCTAAAGAGACAGTGAGCAGGCAAAGCAGTTTGTCCGCACGTCACATGTCGAGGACAGATAAAATAATGCACACCTTGAGCAGTGTTTAAACTTTCCTAAATGTTATTTAATCCGTCTTCTTCAGAGTACTTCTTTCAGAATATTTTAAGAGCAATGTGTAAATTAGATTTTGCTCTTTTGCCTCATGGCAGAAGGCAGTTTAAAAAGGCTTCTCAAAAGGTAGACACGAAACTGTCAGCTCTAAGAAAGACTTAGCTATGCAGTTTCATCTAATACTGTCAAGAAAAGACAGCAAGCTTTGGGAAAAATACGACAGGAATTTGGCAATGTAAAATCAAAAGTCTCACAATCAAATTTGATGCCCGAATTAAGTGTATTGCTATGTTCTCATTTCTGTAATCATACCTGTGTGTTGCCTGTATGGAAGCAGAACACAATATATGCCTTTAATTTGTAAGTAATATGGAAAATGCAAACAGATGGAGAGGGTGCAATTCAGTCTAGCGCTGAGCTGAGCCCCAGCAAGTTCTGGGAGGTTCCTTGCCTTCCCACAGCAGCTGGGGGAATTTGGCTCAGAATTAGAAGCCCAATTTAGGCTTTTGAATAGCTAGGCAGAATTGAAAATAAAAGCTGAGAAGTCAGTAGGAATGCAGGGAAGAGTGAAAGTCCCAAGAAAGCTGCAAGTTAATGAAGGTTAAGAATGTGATATGTAACCACAAATACATATGCTTTAAAAAACATACCACAAATGCTTTATTTTAGGCCACAGTGAGTGGCCTAAATAAATAACCCTAAATCGTGGAGCTGCGGCCAGCTCCTATGTATGCCTGATGCTCCGGGTAGCACCGAGGATGTGGTTACTTCTATTTTGCTTACATACCATGCTTGGCAGGACAGAAAAGCTGCCAAACTGAGCAAAACCAGGAACCTGCATCAGACACGACCTCGCTAGCATCTACCCTTCTGGTATCCCCATCTCGGGTTAGTTTTAACACTGAGCAATTCAGTACCCTGTAGCTAAGCTCGAGGAAGCAGGGACATGTAAATGGTGCAGAGTAGCAAGCACAGATGGTGACTGTGGAGCCAGCTGCACTGAGGTGGTACTGTGGCTGGACTGAGTGCAGACCTTCTGCTCTGGGATCTGAAACTATTTGAAGGACGATGGTAACTCTGCATCATGCTGGATTGCCACATAAACATAGTCTGAGCAAGCTGTTGTAAACACAGGGGCTTACAGGTTCTGATTCTGATTGTAATCTGCTTGTTTTAGTGGTGATTTTCCTGACTTAAAGCAGTATTATCGAGACAAGAGTTGAACTCTAGAGGTGCCTAAGTACGTCAGTACAATTTTAAGCAGCCTGAAACAATAGGATATTGCACTTGGCTAGGTCTCCAAGTGATTCGTGTTTTACAGTTATGCTACTTGTTTCTTCATTTTATATAGCATTGTGCAACACTTAAAAACAGACAATCAGTAACAATATTGCCAAGGATTATTTATTGAAGAATGGCTTGGACCACTCTACAAATGGTAAACAATTTGTACAAGCTCTACGTTGAAGCAATCCCAGGAGAAAACATTGCTCAACTGTCAAATAATCCACCTCAAGATTTTGTAAAATTAAGAGAGAGGAAGAAAAGACCCACAGTCCCAGGTATGGAAAAGAGATAGAGAAATCTAGTGTGGGAGGGCTCTCCATGGAAAGCTGCAAAAGGAAGAGGTAAGAAAAGAAAACAGAATAAGGTGAAGTTTTTGAGAAATTCCAGTTGCTGCTCATGAGGACTTATGAGCATCTCAGCAGCATCCAAAAGCAAAGACAAGGGCTGCCATAGTTAGAAGCAAAACTAAGATTTATCTTCAAAGCCTTATTTAGGTAAGTAATTCTTAACACTTGTAAAAGTCTCTTATGTGTTGAGGAGTTTTCTTGGAAAAGGGAGGACTGTGGCAGAGACAAAAATTTCCTCTCAAAGGGCAAATGAAGACTCTCTGGGTTGTGCAATTCGTCCTCCTTTATCGAACCTTTATCTCCACAAGGACTCTTGTCCACATACACAAAGCACCTTCATTCAGAGCCACAGAGGTACTGATGCCCCCATAAACTCTGCCAGCCCCCTACATCTGTCATTCCTATCAAATCAATCAAGATTTTTAAGAGATGAAGCTTGAATTCCTTTCCCTTAATCCCAAACTCACTCACTTGTAGCCCTTCAACTCCTTTTCTCTTCCCTATATTACATCAAGTAGGGTTTTCTAGATCTCAGAAATAATTCATTTTAGGTGGCATACATTTTCAGTGATTCAGTCTTCAGTGCCTAACAAAACTAACTGACTCAGGAATTTGGGACTGGCTTCAGTAGGACCCGCATCTCAATTAAGTCCCCAGAACTGAGAAAAAAAGAACATGCATTCTTTAAGAGTAATTCTGAACTTCTGTACTTCTATGAACAAAAGAGGTGAGAAGAATAAATAAAGAGGTAGGCAGGAGGGCAATTTGTGGAATATGGCAGAGACCAAGAGCCAAATCAGCCATTGCCTTAATTTTTGTACACTAATTCATTGGTGTGATAAAACACTTCACTCAAGCTATGCTTGATTGCAAGGGACTAAGCAAGGTCACAGAATCAGACCCTAGAAAATTGGATGAACATTCACTGTGTACAGTCAAAATAATACTCAGGTTGTAATAAAAGCAATAGTAAGTTAAAACCGTAAATTGTAGAGGGGGATCAGGTGGTACTGTCAACATAGAAGAAAATATCTAAAATAGGTTTTCTCTCTTTCCTGTCTAATAGTGACAGAACTCCTGAAGACAAAAGAGAAGTGAAATAAAAAATAGTTAATATTTTCTTACAGTATTAAAAAAAAAAAAGTACCAGAAATTAGAATTCCTGGGCTCATGCCTTAAACTGTGAGTTTGCAGGTCCGTGATAGTGGAAATACGTTCCTTTCTCTGTACTGCCTGCTAGCAGCCAGGAAGCAATCCCCTGCAATACAACTCGTTCAACTGCTGAACCGAAGAAAGGATTTAGGGACTTACTAACAACACCTGTAATGCCTGGAGTTTAGGCAACTTATTACCACAGTCACCATGAAAGGGGCAAATTTCCCTGCTAGCAATGGCAAACGCCCAGCACTATAGTCTACAGCTCAGGTAACTGATCCAAGGTATTCCTTACCTTGGATCAGTTCCAGTGCCCAGAACACTCTTTGCCAGGAGAAGCCCATGTCTCTTCTTTGACATAAGAGAGATGAAGGAGGCCATCACAGTGGGACAGGACACTTTTCCACAGGTGAGTGGTTATAGGTTGTGAAATTTAGTTTAAACCTTCTGATAAGTTTAAACAGGCTAGTATCTCTCCAAGCTTGCCTTAGCCTTAGTGCCATAGAGATGGATCTGTCTTTGCTCCTCTCTGACACTGGACTATGTGCTGAGATGTCTGCAGGATCCTTCCAGTTCACCCCAGAGGTAGAGCTGGGAAGAGGGAAGCTCACTTTTTCTATCACTGCTCAGAAAAAGTGGTTTTGACACCTCTGTCACTTGCCAATGACAGGAAGAAGCTCCAAGGCACACAGAGAGATATGGCCGATGCTAGTCTGAGCAAGAGGTAGTATCGCCGACTGGAAGAGCCTGGGACGGTGACAACAGCCAGGATTACACTTAGCTAAGACAGAAGCAGTAGCAGCCTGTCCAGGACTGGGGTCACACACTGAGCTGGGCTGACTCCCAGCATCTAATTTTGTCTAATCCCTAAATGCTACCAAAACATCATATTTTCTTCTCATGATGTGACTGTAAAGCAGTCGAAATAAATGTTGTATTTTCAGGTTTTTTTCTTGATACTGCAAAAATGACGCCAACAAAGCAAGAGCATTCTGATTTCTTGGGGAACAATTTCCTTGATGTCTGGGGGTTTTACAGCCCGGTTCCCCCGGGGCGCCGAAAGGCCCGGGGGGGCTTGGAGCGCCTCACCCGCTCGCCTCTCGCCAGCCCTCCCGGTTCGGGCGGAGGCGCCAGATTTAAGAGTGAAAAAGCGCAGTAAGTGGGAGAGCAGCGAGTGCAGGGCGGGGGCGAGGCCGGAGGGCAGCGGGGCCGGCCGGGGGGCGAGCTGCCCGGCGCTTCCCAGCCTCATTCTCCTCGAGCCGGTGTCAGGTATTGCGAGGAGGGGTAGGGGCCCGGGGAGGAGATGGCTGGAGGCTTTCCAGCCCCGGCTCACGCAATGCTAACTCCGCACGCAACGGGGAGGCGACAGGCGGAGGAGGGGAAGCTCTCCGGCTTCCTCAGCCCCTAAGATGCAGCCGAGACTTCGCCTCCCGACAGCGAGGGCTGCGAGCCCGCCCGCCACCCCGCTCCCCTCCCGGCACCTCCTCCGCTAAAACTTTTGGCCCCGGCCATAAAAGCGTCCGCGACTCAGCCGCTCCACTTGGCTAAGGCCCAAGGGCAGCTGGCAAATAGCTACGACCCCTCAAGCCAGGGGACGGGCCAGGCAGCGGCGATTTGCCAGTGGGGCCGCCCGCGTCCCGCCCGCACCGCACCGCACCGCGGATGCCGGCGGGTTTAAAACCGGGAGTGCCAATGCCAGACGCCCAGAGGCGGCGGCTTCGGCTCCGGCTCAGTCTGGGAGCAGCGGGCCGTCCCCCCCGCGCCCTCTGAGCTGCTCGCCTTCGCTCCCTGCAGCGGGTTGGGCTGGCCCCGTCCCGTTCCCCGCAGCCCAGCAGGCGGGCGGGAGGGAGAGAGGGAGGGGGCGGCAGCAGCCCCGCTCGCACCCGGCTCCCGGGGCTGCACCGGGCGGGTGGCTGCCGGTGGGACGAGCTCCGGAGGGTTAAAACGCTGGGAAGGTGATAATAACTCTGCGCTGGGATGGGGTGCAATTGGCATTTGCCTGCACGTGACCTGCCAAGCTCCGGGTGACAGGTACCGGGGCTCCTAATGAATTTCCCAAAGGCTTGGATCTGAACGCCGCCGTCGCCACTCTCGTCCCGGGGCTGCCGCCGGCTGCCCAGCTCCTCTCCATCCTCCCCCAGGTCTCCAATGGAAGCAGCGTGCAACAGGTCAGTTCTGCTACAGGAGCCCGAGGTGGCCGTTTATTTCACTCCTTCTTCCCCGCGCTGCTTCTGAAAGGCTGGAGCAAAGGGTAGGAGCGGGCGGTCCCCGGGCACGGGGATGGGAAGCGGGACCAGTCAGCGCTGCCACGCCGAGTCTCAGGCATCCTCCGCAGCCCATCCCCGGGGCGGCCGACCGCCAGCCTGCCCTGCCGCGACGGGCACGAAGGTCCGGGAGGAGGTAAGGGCTCGGGATGGAGTGGGCTCCGTGACCGCTGCGGAGGTTTCCGGAGAGAAGCTCCGACGGCAGGGCGGGTAACCCGTTTCTCACAGTGGTTCTTTCGCCGGGGGGAGCCATGTGCAGCGCCTGGCTGCGTCTGCGGAGGCTCGGCAGGCGAGAGCATCCTCCTGCCTTCCTCTCTGCCTCTCTCAGCTGTGACCTGTTGGATCTCTCGCTGCGAACTTTCCCTGTCCGGGGTGGCGGGGGGGAGAGAGTAGCGGCCTCGCCGCCAAATACGACTTCGATCCCTTATTGAGCGCTTGCCACTTCGTTATCGATTATCCCTTGTTTTTCGCACAAGATCTGGGTGGGCTTTAGGCACGCGAGGAGCTCACAGCGAGGACGCAGCTCAACTCCGAGTACCTGGACGGCTGCCGGCGCTCCCCTTCGCCACGCCAGCGCGCCCCGTCCGGGCTTCCCCTTGCCCGCGGGCGACGGGAAGCCTCCCAGCCCTCCTGCGGGGACGCTGCCCGCTGACCTTTCCCCTTCCCTTGCAGCATGGCCCTCGAAAGGCTCGGGGAAGCCCTGGGCAGCATCCCCCCCTTGCAAAGGTCACTCCTGCTTCTGCTCTGCCTGCTCGCCGCCATCCAACTGGGCAAGTTCCTCCTGCAGCAGCAGCAGCGCCGGCGGCAGGGCCAGAGCCGGGCGCCGCCAGGCCCTTTCCCCTGGCCCCTGATCGGCAATGCGGCGCAGCTAGGCAGCGCTCCGCACCTCTCCTTCGCCCGCCTGGCCAGCACCTACGGCGCCGTGTTCCAGCTGCGCCTGGGGCGCTGGCCCGTGGTGGTGCTGAACGGGGAGCGCGCCATCCGCCAGGCCCTCGTCCGCCAGGGGGCCGCCTTCGCCGGCCGCCCGCCCTTCCCGTCCTTCCAGCTGGTGTCGGGCGGGCTCAGCCTGGCCTTCGGCGGCTACTCGGAGCTGTGGAAGCTGCACCGGCGGGCGGCGCACGCCACGGTGCGCGCCTTCTCCACGGGCAGCCCCGCCACCCGCCGCCTGCTCGAGCGGCACCTGGTGGGCGAGGCGCGGGCTCTGGTGGCGCTGCTGGTGCGCGGCAGCGCCGGCGGCGCCTTCCTCGACCCCTCGCGCGTCCTGGTGGTGGCCGTGGCCAACGTGATGAGCGCCCTGTGCTTCGGCCGCCGCTACAGCCACGGCGACGGCGAGTTCCTGCGCATCGTGGGGCGCAACGAGCAGTTCGGGCGGGCGGTGGGCGCCGGCAGCCTGGTGGACGCGCTGCCCTGGCTCCAGCGCTTCCCCAGCCCCATCCGCGCCGCCTACCGCGCCTTCCGCGACCTCAACCGCGACTTTTACGGCTTCGTCCGCGGCAAGTTCCTGCAGCACCAGCGCAGCCTGCGCCCGGGGGCCGCCCCCCGCGACATGATGGACGCCTTCATCCACCTGCAGCGGGAGCAGCCGCGGCTGCAGCTGGAGCACGTGCCCGCCACCGTCACCGACATCTTCGGCGCCAGCCAGGACACCCTCTCCACGGCCCTGCAGTGGCTCCTCATCTTCCTCATCAGGTAGGTGCTGGCGGAGGTGGCACCACAGCGGGGCGCCCCACCTACCCTTGGGAGGGACACGGGAGCCCGTCTGGGGCGTCGCGGTGCGAGCGCCCGGCAGTCCCGGGGGAGCCCCGCTTAAACCGCTCCCCTGGGAAGGCTCCTGAGGCGGGAGCGGTCGGCCCGAGCCAGCGCCTGGACCATCTGGTCAGGGCAGCACCGGGATCGCGATGCCGCCGGGGACCCGCCGTCGGGTCGAGGGTCTGCGGGACCGGGCAGCGCCAGTCCGTGCAGTGCTGGTGCCTTAGCGACTCCCGATTAACTAACACGGAAGCTCTGGGAAACTTGCCAGAAAGAGATAAGAAAATATAAAAAAAAATAAAATCCGACACAAACCCACCCTATTCAGGCCGTCGGGCATAAAGCGAGGTTGGCAGAAAGGCAGCCGAATAAAACCTGAAAGTAACAGATTTTACCAGGTCAAGATCAAGGAGATCATAGGAACAGGATAACAACTGATTAAGCACGATAAAGAGTTCGTGCACCGGTTTACAAAACCCGCTATTATGTTGATCTGCCATTGCGTGTGCCTTCCTTGCCATTGCGTGACTGGGGAAGGCAGACCCCTTGGGCAGCCGGCGGGTGCACTGCCCTGGCACCAGCACTTCCAGGGGGAAAACTCTGCTAGGGGACGTGGTTTAATAGAAGGCGCCACGAGACTGGCTTTTTTTTTTTTTTTTTTTTTTATCACCTGCATAATTTGTGGGCTTGTGCAAACATTATCTACTCAGTCGCTTCATGAAAAACAGGCAAATATTTGACTTCAAGCTAAGGGTGTGATGCCCAGTGTTCACATAACTTTTGGGTTTCTCCCCATTTCTTATGTTTGCCCAGCATTTAACATGCAGATCTGCTGCAGGAGGAAAAGGCAAGGATGGAGAAGCCAAACTTGTATACTTAAAGCAAATAAAGGCTCCTGGGAGGAGTGCATGCTTTTAGACAAGCAGAAGATGTATTAACATTTTGATCTTGTTTGGTTACTGTGTAGTCTTCCAAACTGTCCAGATTTCAAGACAGTCTTCTTAAAATATAACGAAAATATATTTTGATATTAATTAGAAAAAAGTGTACTCAAACTTAAAGTGGGACGTTCATAAAGCCATTCTGACAATTTAACAATTGGGATTTTTTTTTTCAGTTTAAAAACCCACAGGCTATCATATGTATGCAATATGTCTAGTAATATCAAACTCCATGTTAACTTTTAAAAGTCACATAAAGAGCTGGAAAACAAAACTCTCATACCCATGGAAAACACAATACTTAGAAGACACAAGTAATTTTAGTTTTAGAATGAATTTTCAAAATTGGATCAGAATATTCAGTTTAAGCACACTTTAGGTTAGGTTCACTTTTTATGTTGAGAATCAGTTACGTGTGATATTAAAGTGAAAACTGAGCAAATCTGAAATTACACCATTGGATGGGAAGTTTGGATTTTTCTCTCAAAGTTTTCCATTGAGGTCTGCATGTTCCTGTAATATATTTAAACTTTTTTCAAACTTCATTATTTAGGGTAGGGGTTAAGTTCTGTGAAAAATGTTTACAGCGAGAATTATTTGTAAGAAAATCCTTTGAATGTGTTATGTACACAGACACATCTTGCTTTAAATGACAGGTATCCGAAAGTGCAGGCTAAAATGCAAGAAGAAGTGGATAGGATTGTCGGAAGAGACCGTCTGCCATGTGTTGAAGATCAGCCTCACTTGCCCTACATCATGGCTTTCTTGTACGAATCCATGCGTTTCAGCAGTTTTGTGCCTGTTACTATCCCACATGCCACCACGACCAACACCTTCATAATGGGCTACCTCATTCCCAAGGACACTGTCATTTTTGTAAATCAGTGGTCAGTGAATCATGATCCAGCAAAATGGTCCAACCCTGAGGATTTTGATCCAACAAGATTCCTGGATGAGAATGGATTCATCAATAAAGATCTTACTAGTAGTGTGATGATTTTCTCGTTAGGAAAACGTCGGTGTATTGGAGAGGAGTTATCCAAGGTGCAGCTCTTTCTCTTTACCTCTATACTGGTGCATCAGTGCAATTTTACTGCTAATCCAAATGAGGACCCTAAAATGGACTTTACCTATGGGCTGACCATTAAACCTAAGCCATTTACCTTGAATGTTACACTAAGAGATACTATGGATTTGCTTGATCAGGCTGTCCAAAGACTGCAAGCAGAGAAAGTAGCCAATGAAAATCAGCTGTCAGCAAATGCCTAAACAATAAACCTTGCATCTACAGATAATCCCTCTTTCTCTTTTTAGACTTATATGACTTACAGTTTGTTCTGGTGATCTTTTTGGAACATAGCCAATATTACAAGTTGTAAGAGCAGGAAGGAAAGCTGCACAAGGTATAATTCAGTCCTCTTTTTAGTTCTAGAAGGAGAGCCAGGGGAACAATTTAATATATTAAATAATAAAACATATGCAATTTGAAAGTAAACCTTTTCTTTTCTAGCTTGTTCACAGAAGTTGCCATTGTAAAGTGCTTTTTATCTACTGACTGGTTGGAGCACCTCCAGGAACTCTCTCTACAATCCTTGCTATGTCTCCATGTGCTATGCCTTAACTCTAGGTTTGCCTTCAGTGACTCCGCATCCCAAAGTGAAATTTCTTATTCAAAAACAAAGAAAAGAAAAAATTAAAAAAAAGAAAGGGTTGTTTAGAACACTGCAGCCTGCCTCTGAATTCCCTCTACTGGAAACTGCCATGCTCCTGTGTTGTGACTGCTGGGATGTCCATTAATGCCTCAATAATAAGTGTTCAAGTGATTTTTGGTAAAATGACAATGTAAAGTCTAGCCTTCAGCATTCCAAAGTGTTTACATAAATGACTAAAAAAATAAAAGCCTTCCTTATAAGCACAGCTGAAAATAAAATTTATGTTTTATATGAACATGAACAGAATGTCCTACTACAGTAACTTTTCACTAAGTTTTGAAAGATCAGAATTTCTATGCCACTGAATGGCAAGTGAGATACAAATCATATGCTAATATGTTCATTAGCATGTTCATGAACAAAATAGATATTTGAATTAGATTGATAAAGGTATAGTTGAACTTTTTATTTATCTAGGAAAGAGTATCACATAATAAGCACATAAGTAAGTCCAGTAAAAACCACATCGGCCAAGGGATTTAGAGGTGAGAATATGGGGGGGTCATATTCAAACATTCATACCACAAGTCTCAAGTAAAGCATACAGCAAATAAAACCCATGTTCACTAGTCATTCTAGTAGGTTTAGTTAAATGGTATATCTGAAAATTAACTGTGTACTTTTAGTACACTTTGCTTGGAACAAAGTCTCAGAAGGAAATGTAGTGTTACATGTCCTAATTAATGTACCCATTAACTGAAGAAAGAGTACTTTTAAAATATTAGTGAGGCAAAGTTCATAAAATTTTAAAAAACCACCTAACCTATTATTTGAAAGTAAAAAACGTGTGAAACTTTATAGCCTTAAACCTCTGGCTAATATTTGTATACACAAAGCTGCACATATTTCTCTAAAAAGCAAACAATCCAATGTATATGCCTGATTTGAAAAGTGTTGGGCAGGCATTGCAAATCACCTTCAATTACATATGAAATCAATCCGAAATGAGAGTACCTCACGTGACTTGCTATGTTCAGCTGAGTACTAAATAAGGTATTAGTAGAGCTAGAAAAATAAGGGTACAATGCTACACAGTAAAGTAGCTCTGCTAAGCAAGTAAGGATTTGCACTGTCTTTTAATAGATGGCCAGTCTTAGTCACGTTGGCAGCAGTGACTGAACTCATACTAACATTGGGAAGAGCTAGGTTAATGACACAATCCAGATCTTAGCTTCACTACTGATTTTAAAAACCTGAATCAAGCCTAAAAGTACTGCTCTGTAACCCCCCAGAGTGATGTACCTGCTTAAAGTCTCTGACTTCATATGGCATCTATCATCTTTTTTTTTTATAGTTAAAAGAAGCTTTCTGTTACATACACAAGGAGTAACCTCAGGTGTTTTTCTGAATTACGTACAAGTTTGTGATATCCCAGAACTTAGCCTATACCTGTGAAAAGCTTTATAAAATACTTAGGATTTTCCTATGGAGATCTACATTAGATCAAATGCTGGCAAGACAATTTCTCTTCTACCTTTGTAAGTATTGATATTAAAAAAAAATAAAGGATGTAACCTACAACTGAATAGTTATTCTAATGCAAGGATCACAAATTCATATTTTAGTAAAAACAGCTTTTACAATTTGATACTCTTCCAAAAGCTTTAACTTTGCATTGGCTACTAATGCAACATCCATACACACTGCTCATGTCAGTCAGGGGGTTACACGCTATATAGCTTTTGGTCAAATAAATGCCTTTTGTAATCTGTGAAGATACTCAAATTTAGTAGCACCTATTTAGAATGTATGCAGTTTAGTGAGCTAACTTCTATGGTCATTCTGAGATGTATCATTGTGTTACCAAAATACTAAATAAAATTATTCTTACACTGCCATTGCTTAGTTTATGTATGGCTTTCTAACATCAAATTAAACAAAATTTTTATTTCTGATTTGGAAAGTATTATTATTTTAGATATTTGTTTATATACTTAGCACCCTCTTCCCATTTTTGGATTTTAAGGTTTTTCTCCACGCTGCCCTTACAGCTTCTCAGGTCTGCCTGCTTATTCACACCTTGCCCTCTGTGCTTAACTTTGTCATGCTCCTTGCTGCTCGCCTCAGCATTGATCTGAATTCTTCCCATGTCTTTTGCTTTGTTCTAATACCTGTTAACCTCTCCTCAGCCTGCACAATCTCCTATGCTATGTTCTTCCCTCTGGCATTTCAGTTGACTTCCACCTCCTCTATTTTTGAGCCCACAGACTGGTTTTCCTTTCTCTTTTCCCATCCTATACCTAGTGCTGACATCTATATACTCCTGCCACTGGATCCCCACCTTGGTCCTTGGCACCAATTTGTGCTCTTTTAGCCTTGGTGTATAGTCAGAAGTGTCAGGAACGGAAATCTCAGGCCAAACAGGCCTTAATGTACACTTGCAGAGCAGTCTCTCACAAAATGAAAGCAAAGCTGTGGTGAAGGGTGGCTGTTATTACATATATAAAACATTTCTTCGTGATGCAGCAGCTCTCCCATCCTCCCACTCCTTTGTCTTCTTTTCTCAGTCTGCTACACAAGTCTCCTTACTTCAGAGGCATCTTAGAAATGACCTTCACATTTTCCCAAGCCCCAAGGAAGGGGAAAAGAGCTGGGTGGGACAGAAGACTGGGCAGACTGATGACCAGTAGTTTCCTCCTGATTTGGGATATTTTCAGCTGTAGTTTCTCCCTAAGCGGGCAGGATCCCAAGTTCAGGTCGAGTTGGTGAAATTAGAAGGAGCACAAGTGGAATACAACCTATAAAGACCTCCTAGAAATAGCTAAGGGCCTGTGGAGTAGGCGTAGTGTCCAGAGATACCCCGTGCAGTGCATACCTGGCTGGGGCTGACCAGTGGGGCAGCGCTGATTCAGAGCAGGTGTCCTCCCTGGGTAAAAGCCAAGAACAACTACCTCCCTCGCCAACCTGTGACTGGGTGTCATCACAGCAATACGAGACAAATACATGTTGTTCTTTCTTCATGAAAAAAAGCACAGAGTACTGAAGCAGCTGTATTCAAGTCAAGATTTTTCCTTTAAAATTCTTTACATTCAGGTTGTAGTGATTTCAATGGGTCAGGAAAGCCAAATGTCATCTCACGTTTGCTTCCTCTGTGCATGTGTGCACACATGCTTGGTCCATCTCACCGAAGTTTAGTAACATCCTTCATTCAGGTTGAGGTAAGGGATTAAAAAATCCAAAACAACCACCAAAACAAGCAAAAAAGCCCACAAAACCCCGAAACAGGAAACTCAGGGAGAACTTAAGATAAGCATATATTTCTTGGAAAATCAGTAGCAGTCAGACCACCCCACTAACTAACAAGGAGAGGAAGCAAGTAGGCTGAGCTAGCAGAATTGATACTGAATATGTTTATACTAGTCAACTGTACCACTACATTCCTTGTGATCCTAATAGAAACCTGCTGGCTTCAGCAGGAGTCAGTTCAGAGCTGCTGAATACATAACAATAATGTAACAATAAAGGACAAGACTCATCAAAACTTCAGAAATAAGCACTGCTATAAAGGTGTGTGTGTGGGAGGTTATCTGTCTAAGATCTGTGTGTACCAGCCTAGTCACAGCACAATGCAACTGAATGCAAATTCACGACAAATTCCTATTAGTTTTGCAACAGACCCAGTGTTTTTGTGAGTGGCAGGCAATGATGCATAGGTCTGTCTGTAGGAAGTTGTTTCAGATTATCCAGGCAGAGCAATCAGAGACTAGGCAATTGGGAACTCACATTTTACCTGAGAAAAGTTGAGGAATTAGCCATGAAAAGCAAACAGTTAGTATTTGCCTTTGCTGCATCTTCAACTTAGTTAAATTTACTCGGATCTCTCATGCCCACATAAATTCAGCTTGGGATAACACTGAAGGCAGATCTGGCATTTTTCATGGATAAAGAGAAAGACTGGATTCTGAAAGGTGTTGTTATTTTGGTATACACCACAACATGGACACGGGGATTCAAATTTCAACATCTTCTTTGTTGTTTACCATCCTGCCTTTTTGCAGCTGACTTTTTCCATGTTTCAGCCACTTGTACTCAGACCAGGCCAAGTCTCTAAACTTACAGGTAAAAGCAAACTCAGCGTTAGGCACAAACAACTTAGAGCATTTAAGATGGTTGCAGTCAATTCTTTGATAGCCCTCCTTTCAGATTTTTTTGCCAACTTTTCACACAGCTCCACAAACCAGAAAACTCTTTGCTTGGTTAGTGTTGCCCTGTCCTTCAATACAGCAGATCTTGCTCCAGCCTGAAAGCATAGAGCTAGAGCTAACCAAATCAAAAAAGAGTCTCTCAGCTCCCCACACTCTTGATCTGTGCTGCATGTTTGGGGACACTGATCCATCAATACAGTGAACTCAGAAGATACAGGATGCTGAGGCATTTCAACTGAACAGGAGCAGAGGCAGGGAAGAGAGCAGATGCATGGGGGGCTCATTGACAGTTCATAAAATCAACTGCAGAGCTACATAGGAGTCATTTGCTGGAGTGGCTGAGAGTTGGCAGAGGAAAATATGTGTCTAGAGCATAGGAAGATTCCAGCTAGGAAGAAACTGCAGAGGGTCTTTGATTTCCGGGGAAAAAGAGGTGGTGATTTTACATTGCAAACATAGAAAGAAGAGCTGAGGAACTAAATGTGAGGATTGGGCTGTCCCATACAGGCTGCAGGATTTGCAAACAAAACCAGTCTACAACAGAAAGTCATAGATAGTCTGTCATTCTCCTCATTTTAGCATCCCCAGTGTCTGTGAACAACAGGGAGGGGCAGCCCAGCTGCAACAGTCTGAATACCTTTTGGAGGAATTTTCCTCTTGACATTCAGAGAGAGTGGTAGAAGAAGCAGACACTACACCAGACAAACACTTCTGATCTAGAGGGTCCATTCAGAGCAGTTCAGTGTCATTTATTCGAGCAAGCTGAGCAGGAAGAGGTTTGCATCAGTCAGCTATTCCCATGCTACACAGCTACATCTTCAGCTCTATTTAGGCTTGCTCAATACACCATAAGGAAGGAATAGCATGTATTTTGCGGGATGCTCCAGAACTGGGTTCCATCTCTGCTATTATTGGTATGTTTTCAGTGATGGCTCCTTTTGTTGGCAAGGGCAGCTCTATAAAACCAGATTTTATTTCCACAATCTCCCTTCTCCCAGCCTGAGCTCTGGTAAGAGCATAACTGTTATCATGCAGAAACAGGCTTCTAATCCTCTCATGATAACAAATGGGACTTCATATAATCACATTTTCTGTGCTAAAAATAACAGTACACCCTCCAATTATTTGGACTATTCTACTCATCATAACAGAAGCAGAGATGTGGAGTGAGACACCTTGTTCCCAGTACAAAAGCAAGGTTTAAGACAAAGCTTGACTTCACTAAGCAAGTATGCTTTGCTATCATCTGCAGAATAACGTGAAACAATACCCCAACCTTCTTTTATGCTTTGTATTCTGTGAAAATTTTCCAAGCTGCAGTTCAAAAATTTAATCCAACCGTATATCTTCTTTTTAATTATACTTTTTCACTCTACAGAGAAAAATCATAAATTGTGAGGCTATTAATCATAGAATCATAGAATCGATTGGGTTGGAAAAGACCTCCGAGATCATCGAGTCCAACCCTTGGTCCAAATCCAGTCCATTTACTAGATCATGGCACTCAGTGCCACGTCCACTCTGCGTTTAAAAATCTCCAGGGATGGTGAATCCACCACCTCTCTGGGCAGCCCATTCCAATGCCTGATTACTCTCTCTGTAAAGAATTGTCTCCTGATATCCAACTTAAATTTCCCCTGGCGGAGCTTAAGCCCGTGCCCCCTTGTCCTATTGCTGAGTGCCTGAGAGAAGAGACCAACCCCCACCTGGCTAGAACTTCCCTTCAGGTAGTTATAGACGGTGATGAGGTCACCTCTGAGCCTCCTCTTCTCCAGGCTAAACAACCCCAGCTCCCTCAGCCTCTCCCCATAGGACTTATGCTCCAGTCCCTTCACCCGCCTTGTTGCTCTTCTCTGGACCCGCTCCAGCACCTCAATATCCTTTCTGAACTGAGGAGCCCAGAACTGAACACAATACTCAAGGTGTGGCCTCACCAACGCAGAGTACAGGGGAAGGATCACTTCCCTGCTCCTGCTGGCCACGCTATTTTTGATACAGGACAAGATCCCACTGGCCTTCTTGGCCACCTGGGCACACTGTTGGCTCATGTTGAGCTTCCTGTCAATTAGTACCCCCAGGTCCCTTTCTGCCTGGCTGCTTTCCAGCCACTCTGTGCCCAGCCTGTAGCGTTGCAGGGGGTTGTTGTGGCCAAAGTGCAGGACCCGGCACTTGGCTTTATTGAACTTCAACCCATTGGAATCAGCCCATCTCTCCAGTCTATCCAGATCCCTCTGCAGAGCCCTCCTGCCTTCCAGCAGGTCGACACTCCCTCCCAGTTTGGTGTCATCAGCAAATTTGCTGATGATGGACTCAATCCCCTCATCTAAATCATCAATAAAGAT